ATTTGAATATAATAAAGTAAATATTGTTGACCCCTTATTAGTAAAGTCATTGAAAAGTAGAAATTGTTGTTGATTTTTGAATATAATAAATTAAATGTTGTACATCACATATTTATTTCCAAAAAGGATAATGTGATATTTATTTTGGGATAATCTAAAAAAGAAAAGTACCATAAATTTGAATATTAACATGAGTTAATACATAGTATGTATTTAAGTCGTCACAACAACTTGGACTGGTCTCTATCCTACTTTTTATTATTATTATTATTATTATTGCGGATGTATTATTATAAAATCCTTGTAAATTTCTCTCTATTAAAGGTGAATTTTACAAAACTTACTCCGTATCATTCTATTTCACACACTAGACGATGTACCCGTTCACAAGAAAAATAAACTCCAATGAAAAAGAAATTGAATGAAATATTTTATACTACCTCGCTGTTTGACAGGTCATAAAGGTAAGTGATCCTTGTTAATAATAAAAATTATTTTTAGTAAATAAAATTTACATATTCAAAAATTTCATTAAAAGTCTTGTAAAGTCATAAAAACTCAAATATGTTAAATGATGGATACATAAGGTAAAAGATTACGAACAATTTAAAATAATTTTCATGTAATTTTTTTTATTAATTAAATATATATTAAATACAGAGTAATCTTTCCACAATTAAGCAGAATTGGCAAATTCAGCTAGTTGAGTCAGAATTTCACACTTTCGGCAGTTTTATCCGATATTGTCAATTGCAATGTTACCTAGTAGGGTCTCAATAAGTACTACTTGACTTCAAATCTTCAATGGAGGCCACTTATGGGAGAGTGTGTTTTTTAGTGGTCGGCAAACCGGTTCGTTTGAGTGAACCAAACTACACAAAAATGAATTGCAACCAAACTATACGCAATTTAGTTTGAGTTTGGTTGTATGTTTACAAATCGAATTCAACCAAAATAAAAGAAATCGAAACTTTGAAAAATCAAATAAGGTCGAGCTGGACTTAGATAGTCAATAAATTCTTAATATATTTTTTAAAGTAACAGATCTAAATCAAAACGAACCAAATAAATATGAATTAAATCGAAATATAGTATGGTTTTTGTTTGATAATTGTGCTTCCAATCAGTTTCAAATTGAATCGAATTGATTTTAAAACCGATAAAAACCAATTTGAAACTGCTATGCCTACCCGCAGTATTTTTATATATAAATTGTTACTCAATGAGTTTTATTTTACCAGGGAAAATTTTCTTTTGACTACAAAAATTACTACCTCCGGTCCTAAATAAATTTCTCGTTCGTTTTACGATGCTTGACTGACAATAAAGCAACTCGATCCGTGTTCACACTCGGATTATTTTTAGTAAATAAAATTTGCATATTCAGAAACTACATTAAAACCGCTACAAAGCCTGATCAAGAAAATTTGATAAAAATTTGATATATAAAGTAAAATATTAAGAGTGATTTAAGTTGACCATTGAATAGTGAGTGTGAAGTTTATTTAGGACAGGAGGGAGTATGTTTTTTTAAATTTAAAAAAAATAATTTTTTACTTTTCTAATTTATTCTTTTATCTACATTTCATCCACATAATTGTTTTACACTCAAACTACTTTTTCTTATATCCATTCAATCTATAAATTGTAAAGATGATGTATTCCATGTATGTAATTGGATTCAAGTAATTATGGAGGTTGACAATGGACTCCTTAATTTGTTCAAATTTTAAGGGCATTTATCCTTGTGATGGCACAATAGCATGCACACATGTGGTTGGATAGTATATATGATCCATATAACACATATATCTTCATTATGATTCGATTAAATTCGACGTTGTTCGCAAATTGTTGATCACAAAAAATCAATTTTCTGGTAGTGGATTGAATCGTATGCCCGGCTTGACTATATTATTATACAATTAATATACTGGGTTATTGTAGCACAATTCCAGTAAAAAATAGTGATTGTAGCTCAATCAATTGGGTCCCATGCATGATCCTTTAATATGCACTCGCCAAGCATCTCACATTTATGATTCTTATGTTGCCTACCATATACTTTGAATATAATAAATAAGTTAGAGCTTTTTTGGTAAGATCAAATCGACGGAATCGATTGATTCTGATGAAATATATGAAGTTTTGGCTGAAGTGCCTGTATTGGCTGATTCTGCTGATTTTGAATAAATTATATCTAAAATATATTTTATTAATAAAACAAAGAAAAAATTATATGAAAAATAGATAAAATGGTCATTTATAGTATCTTCAAACAATACAGACAACAAAGTAACTACAACCTTATATTTTCTTATTATTACACAATTCAGCGCATGAAATCAAAAGTTACGTTTTTCATTAAAAAGTTGACTGATAAGCCTGATAAGCCAAAAAACAAAGTCACCAAACGGGCTCTTGATCTAATGCTAGGAGTCCAAGGATGATTCAATGTGGAAATAGGCGGGAATAATTGGTGAATTTCAATTGCTCGCACATTTCTTTATACTCCATATTATATAAAGATTTTGTATGCCAAATTTGAAACTTTTTTATTTGTTTAAATCATGAAATCAAGAGCAGATACTATATTAGGTTTAAATGAATATTCAAAAAAATGAAGTCAATAACCTTCGTGTTCATGGATAGGGCTGAGCACGGGTCGGGTTCGGGTGGGTCGGGTCTGCGTACCCTAAACCCGTTCGGGGTTTTTAAGTTAAATACTAGGCCCGACCCTTTTGATATTTCAAATTGGGTTTTTCGGATATTTGTAAGTCGGATATTATCGGATATCGGATCGGGTTTCGGATATTTCGGTTATAATAAAAAAAATATAATTGGATAATTAAAGTGTTTGAATGTCCCTTTGACAAAAATTCTACAAACTAGTGCACTAAACATTCAAATTGCGCAAATAATTTAATACACATTGCATAAATAATTACACAAATAATTGAACACAACTACACAAGTATTAATTTAACATAATCAAAGTACACACTACATAATTTATTATATTTTGAATATTTCGGTTATATTAAAACACATTATAATTGGATAATTAAAGTGTTGGAATGTCACTTTGACAAAAATTGTACACACTAGTGCACTACACATTCAAATTACAAAAATAATTTAACACAAATTGCACAAATAATTACACAAATACTTGAACACTAGTATTAATTTTAACATATTCAAAGTACACACTAATATATTTCGGATTTTCGGGCGGGTCGGGTTGGGATTTACAAACCCTACCCGCCACCCGATCTAGGCCCAATACTAATCGGATTTTCGGTTTCGGATTTTTCGGGTTGGATATCCATTTCGATTCGGATATTATTTGAAAAAAACTTCGGGTTTTGCGGGTCGGTTCGGGTTTTGCTCAACCCTATTCATAGAGAACACAAACAAAATAGAACAATTTTAGTTTTTCTCATTAAAAGCTCACAATAGTATATCCTGATGCAAGGTGAGGGTGCCCTATAGATCACCCCTAATCTGAACAAAAAAATACTCCCAAGACTTGTTAATGTTACGTAGTACTCCCTCCGTCCCAAAATGATGGTCCTGTATTTCCTTTTTAGGATGTTCCAAAATGATGGTCATGTTTCACTTTTTGGTAAAAAAACTAAAAGTGGATTACCATTTATACCCCTCCTTTTTAATGAACAGTAAAAGTAAAAGGATGAACAATACAAGGATGTTCTTTAGTCTTTCTACCACATTTTCTTAATCTTTGTGCCCGAAAGGAATAATACCCTCATTTTGGGACGGAGGGAGTAGGAGTAATAATTTAGATAAAATGCATATAAAAATAAGGAGCATTCTTGGTGTACACAAAATGTGTACATTGTCTATGTACATTGGCAATTTGGCATCAACTCCTGCCATTGTTTTAACGAATTGACTGTGTACACAGGCAACTAGGAGGTTTTGTGTACAACTTGTGTACAACTAATGTACACTAAGCATTTTCCTAAAAATAATGTGAAACGGTGACACGTATTGTCAAACAGTATTGTTTATCCATTAATTTTATAGTTATAATAATAAAACTAACATTAATCTAGGAAGCTCAGATTTGGGATGGATATCTCATTTTTATACTCCGTATATCCCTTGTGGTGACCACGAGCCTTTCTGAAAACAGGTTAGATATAAATGGCATCATTTTAGGAAATTTGTTTCCCACGTGGGCTTCAATTTCGAGTTTCGCGTGAAACAGTTGAAAGTTGAAACACCAAACAGACTTTAGTACTCTCTCCTTTAAAACTTTGTCGTCTTTCCTTTTACGGACGTCCCAAAAAACTTTATCATTTCCTCTTTTAATCAATTATTTTGTGGTTTCTGTTATTCCTCTCTCCTATGCACAAACCTCAATCACACAATTTTTACTTTATTATTCTCCGTGCCGGTCAACTTAGACAAAGTTTTAAGGGACGAAAGTAGTTTTTCCTTCCCTCTTTTAATTAAGATTTTTTTTTTCAATTTCTCTCATTAAAATTGTTTTTATCAAATTTGATAAATTGTCTCCTTCTGTCTCTCTATCATTATCTCATTTTTTATTTTTGAATTTTCTTCTATTATTATTTCATACCGTATTAGGTAATATTTCTATGACTCTAATTTATTCTTATTTTATTCTCACTTTATTTATCACATTATTTTACTTTTCTTAAAAATCATACCACAATCTTCCGTCCCAATTTTCGGGGAACGGAGATAGTATGTGGTTATAAATAATTATTAACCGTGGCGGAGTCAGAAATCTATGGTTAAGGGGGACAAACTTTGAGAATTTTACATTGTGGGAGAAAAGTTTAAAATATCAACATATTTTCTCTAGATTCAAACTATTTAGAGGCCATAACCCCTCCAACCCTTCCCTGTTTTCACCCTATTAACATATTCTTACTTTATTAATTTAATATGAATTAAAAAAAACTTTTTTTAATAACCAAAACTCTTTCTCATTTTTTATAATAGTGTCGTTGATCTTTCTCGATCCCTATTCGCAATTCTCTCTATAAAAGTCTTGTTTAAAGATTATTCGCTTCTGCGTGCAGTTGAAGGCAATTTTAGGGCAGCAATAATACTTTTCTGGAATTTAAATCAGCAGGCAAAAAGTCAAATAAACATGAGACCATCTCCATTTTCTAAAAATAATAATTTGCACCTAACAAACAATAAAGAATAGTCTGAGCCGGTTCTCATTTTTCCTATTTAACAACCATGTCAGTGAAGCCAATAGTACTCAAGTCTCAATATCTACTTGAGATCATCTCCTTTCTACTTGATTCTTGAAACGCCGGTCAATTTCTCCGATCATGGCGGTTTCCGGCGTGTCTCGGCTCATATTGGCCTTGACCTGCGCAGCTCTGGTCTTAGCCGGCTACTCTGTTTACCAGAACTCAGTACCCGCCGCCGCAGACGGCCAAATCGGGCAGCTTAGTAAGGTCATGATGATCCCCGCTTGGTTGGACGACACACTAGACGCGGCCGACTTGTTGTCTTACTTCGGTTTTGGGAAATCCTCCGGCAAGCTTTCCACCCAAGCTTGTGTCTTTGCCGCCGTGAAAGAAGTTGTGGACGCCGCCATTAACGCGGAGGCTCGCATGGGCGCCTCCCTCATCCGTCTCCACTTCCACGACTGCTTTGTTGATGTACGTGTAATTTACTCTGTATATTTTATTTTTTTACCCATATCGCTCAAATTATTATCGCTCAATTTTTTGTGCTTATGGGTGTTTGAATATGATTCTAAAAACTGCTTCCGTTCTTCATGGAGCAGAAATAGAAGCTGTAGTACAGTGTTTAGGTGAAAGGGAATAAATAATTCTGGTGCTCTAATTTACTTCTAGAATCAGTTTGTTTAGAAGTTGGGGTGCAGAAACTGATTCTGTGCTTTAAGAAAGAAACAGAAGCAGAATCAGTTCCAAACACCCTATATTGAATTGGTAAAAAGAAAATGAATTCAATTTTTAGGGTTAATTGCAAAATTATAAGGAAAAGAGCTATATAACTTTAGTGGAATGTTCAAGAAATGAACAATGAGACCAGTTTTAAACATATTTGAGATCATTTTAGAAAAACATTCTAATCGCTTACGTAGTACTACCTACTATCTCGGTTCCATTGTATGTATTCTACTTTGATTTACACAATTATTAATAAAATAATTGAAAAAGTAAAAGTTGTGATTGAGATTTGAATTTACTCCCTCCGTCCCCTTTTAAATGTCTTGTTTTACCATATTGGGATGTTCCTATTTAATTGTCTCATACCTTATTTGGTAAACTTTGTGGGGCTCAAAATCATTCTTACTTTATTCTTACTTTATCAATTAATATCAACCACACAATTATAGGCCTGTCAATGGGTCGGGTCTAGACCCGGACCCGACCCGAACCCGGTTATTTTTAACGGGTATGGGTCTATATTTTATTCCGTTTACCCGGACCCGGATCCGGACCCGTTAGTATATTTAATAACCGGGTCGGGTACGGTACATATGATTCCGACCCGTTAAGGATCCGGACCCGTTTAAAATTTCTTATTTGTATACAAACACTCTAATACATACAGTAATTAATTATAACACTTCAAGTAAAAAATTACAAACTATATACACACACATATACATAATAATAATAATAATAATAATAATAATAATAATAATAATAATAATAATAATAATAATCATAATAATAATAATATAATAATAATAATAATACATAAAATTATTAGTTGTAATTCTTCAATTGAAAATACACACACTAATACATACCTATTAGTGTGTATTAAATTAATACCCGTTTTGACCGTTTAATCATAGTGATAAATGTGTATTATTAATATTATTATATCATTATCATACACTCCATACAATATGTTTTTATACTCTCAATAGTTCAAGACATCTTTTGTGACTTAATTTGAAGTTTATGCTACGAGCTCTATGTACGAGAAAAAGCGACATAGAGTGTTGAGTTATACGCAAGAACCAATACTTTATTGGATAAAAGTAATAACTTGAGAAACCTTGATTTTTTTTAAAAAGTGAGGATATATTTTGCTTTTTAGTTTGCGCACTTTTCTTTACATTTCAAAGAGGTCTTGTTATTTTCACAAAATTTATAACGGTATCATACTTGGCGGGTCTACCCGACCCGGTTCCGAGACCCGTTGGGTCCGGGTCCGGGTCCAAATTTTCAGACCCGCCGGGTAAACGGGTCGGGTCTGGGTCCATTATTAACTTAGCGGGTCCGGGTCTGGAACACTATGTTCCGGCCCGGACCCGACCCATTGACAGGCCTACACACAAACTCGTTTTTCTTAAAACTCGTGCCATCCTCTCCCGTCCCATTTAAAAAGGGACGGAGGGAGTAATAAAGTGAAAAAGTAAAAGTTGTCACATACTCCGTATTTAGTACAATTTTGAAAGAAAAGTAAGAAAGATAAAATAAGACAAAGAGAGTATTATTATGAGATGTGTCAAAAAGATTCGTTTTTCCATTTCTGGAAAGTTGTGTGTAATTAACATTTATTTAATTTTTTATTTCTTAAACATGATAAACGTTTCAATTTTATTCACACTTTCTAACACTTCGAGCAAAATTAAATCAGGAATAATTTTAAGGGATCGAGTAAATACTACGTGTGAGTACTGCCCTGCGGAGGAAGTAGTACTACGCCTGTGTTTTTTTTTTTGAGCAAACGCCTGTGTGTGCTTGTTAACGTACCAAAGAACTTACGAGCATGATTATCACATGATTTAGCTAATACAGCCGACTTTAGCTAATAGTAATGGATTTTAAAACTTAACACCGTAATTATCTTGAAAATATGCGTCGTAATCTTAATATTTTGTTTTTGATAAGTACTAAAAATGATTATCTGGTGCCACAATATAACGTGGAATACAATATTGTTTTGTGATATGACAAAAAAAAATTGTGGTTGTGTTATACACTCCGTACATAAGATGTTATGGACACCATTATTTATTACTAGTAATAAAAAATACGGAGTACTACGTATACGAAAGAATGAAAGGAGACTGTAGAAGGAGAAATTGAAGATAATAGATATACTTGTACTTATACTCCCTCTGTATTTTAGAATATGTGTTGACACATTTTTTAAGGGTGAAATAGGAGAGGTAATGACGGTGTAGAAAAAGTAGAAGAGATAGGTGGAAAAGTATGAAACAAAAGATAAAAGTTAGAATAAGTAAGAGTAATTGAGTATTTTTAAAAGAAAAACTTATCAAAAAGAGAAAATGTAACAAATTTTTGAATACATCCAAAAACAGGAAAGTGTTGCAAACAAAAAATACAGAGGGAGAATAAATGTGAATAATATTTTTAAGAGAATTAAAAATTCTTAATTAAGATATAAGTTTTTCTAGATCATTTAATACATAACATGACTTTGGAAAAACGAAGACAACTAAATATCTCTATGGACTTTTTATATACTACGTACATAAATATAACGAACAACACACGAGACATTGTCGCATTATGCTTTCCCCACTTGGCCACTTGCAACGGATAAATAACAAATAGTACTTCCACCCTTTAAAACTTTGCCAAGTTTGACCGGCACGAGGATTAATAAAATAAAAATTGTGTGGTTGAGGTTTGTGCAGAGGAAAGAGAATTAACTGGAACCACAAATTTTTAGCTTAAAATAGAAAGTGACAAAATTTGTGGGACATCCAAAAAAGGAAAGTTGACAAAATTTTAAAGGACATCTAAAAATAGAAAGTTGTACGGACTAACAACTAGGGAGTATCATTTGTTTGATTTATTGATTCAAAAACAAAATGAAAAGTAAAACGCGATAAAGACATTGGGTCTTGTCGTCACTTTACTTTTTTTTTTCTGTCGTTTTCAGTCCATGCCAGCTATTTATCCTATCCATTCAAAATTGAAATTTCATATCTAGATCAGGGAAACTTTTGTTGAAATGTAGAAATCTCGCCCACCAAATTTGTCCAAATTGATCTGCATCTAATGTAGATAGTAATAATGTACGTAGTATAAATTATGTGAGTAAAGTTTTTGTGGATGAGGGATCCGGAACCTTTGCTATAGCAAGGCACGGTGCCCGGCTCCCGGGAGGATTGGGATCCCCTACCACACGGCAGAGCGCCTTGCGCGCAGGGGACCCTCGGATGGGAGAAGGGAGATCTCGGGATTTGCACCTTTGAAAAATAAAAAAGAGAAAATTCCGAATATGGGAGTAGAACATAGATGCTATGCCAAAATAGGAGTCCTACTTTGTCAACCATGTTTGACACAGAATTTTCATGTAAGTGACCATAATACCCTTAATGAAAAGAAGCTGAAGTTTTTGTAATGAAAGCTGAATTAATACGGAGCAAAAAAACAAAATACAAAAATATAATTTTACACAGATCTGGTCTACAATACTACCACACCAGATTTGGTGTTGCCAGCCACCATCTCTTGTGCCACCGCCGCCAACACTGCCGCCGCCAACACTGCCGCCACCGTCTCTTCCGCCGCCGGCACTGCCGCCGGCTCTTCCGCCGCCGGCTCTTCCGCCGCCGCCGCTGGCGTCACCAATGTGCCGCTGCTTTCAAGAGAGTCTTCATTTGTCACTTCCGTATTTTCCAGCGTCGCCGCCGCCCTCCGGCGAGCCCTGCGCTTGGACTACTGTGAGGGAAGCTAATTCGTGTCAGTCTTAATTGATAACAAACAAATTTTACATTGATTTTGTTTTAATTTTATCAGATCTATTTCTTCAATTTTGCTTCAGTTTTACCAAATCTATCTCCAGATCTGTTTTATCTGATTTTTTTTGTTGATTTTTCTACTTTCTCTTTCAATTTTGTTTTGGCTAATGTTTTTCATATTTAATTTATTTTTGACAATACAAAATATAATTTTTGAAATCTGGTTTCAATCATTATTTTTGTAATTTTTCGGATTATTTTATGAATTGAATCTATAATTGCTAAGGTTATTTTTGCACTTATTGCCATAGTTTTGCCATTTCTTTTGTTACTCAATCGGGATGGCAAACAGTGCCAAATTTTTATTATATACAAAAGATGTTATTTTTACATTTATTGTCATTTGTGTATGGCACAAAATACATGAAGATGGCAATATTACGATGAAAAATGACATTTTTTGCCAACATTTTCTTATCATTTTGTTGCCAACATTTTGAAAACATGATATTTGTAAAATAATTTTGCCAAACATTTATAAAACATGACATTTGTAAAATACTTTTTCCATTTTTTAATGTGTAATTTTCCATCTTAATACGTTCGATATCATAAAAATGACATAACTTTCAAAAAAAAATTTCGAAAAATAAACATTAGTTATAGAATTTTCAGATCCAAAATCATTAAATTGAAATTTTTTAAAATAAAAAATCAAAATTCAGTTTTATTCAATCACTGAATGTTTGTATTTTAATAATAAAAAAATCAAATCTGATATAAGATTCGTCAAAGGAAAATTATAAAGGATATGAAAAAAATTGATAGACCAAATAAAGGAAAAGGGGAGATTGAAGCATGATAAATTTAGATCTGGAAGGGGAAAATAACATTAACTTAAAAATCAAATCAAATTTTGGCTTGACGCTCCAAAAGGTTTGCCGCTGCGCAAAGGAGAAAAAAATGGAGAAGAAGAGAAAGAAGAAGAAGAAGACGAAGAAGAAGAAGAAGAAGAAGAAGAAGAGAAAGAGGAGAAGAAACTTACCTATGATTATTACGTTGTCCGCTGATAGCCGGAGTTCCGGGGAGAAATTCACCGCCCAAACCTTCGTAATCCACCGGCGGAGATGAACTGTGGAGGAGGTCAAATAGATGAGTGCGTGCCAGAGGAGAAATGGGAGGAGATGAGAGAAGGCAGAATAAAGAGGGGAGAAAAAGGTGTGATGGAGACGGAAGATGCCTGACAGAAGGAAAGGCAATAGACAAAATCAAATTAATTTAGGCTAGTTGCAAAGAGGGTATAATTGGAAAAGGGAATGGGCCGGTCAACAATAAACTCCTATATACGGAATAAATCACCAAGTACTCTTACTTTGGAACTTCCTTATTGATTTAGTCCTATTAAGGACAATTTCTTAATAGAAAACTCGGTAGAAAAATAGAAGGGAGGTCTCAATAGAAAAATATTACCTCCATTCTAATGAATAATGCACTTTAGAATCAAGTGAAAAATTAGAAAAGTAAAAACATAGATTTGGACAGAGAATAGAGAAACGAATACAATTACAATTAGGAAATAAATATTCCTAAAATATATTCTATTAATTACTTCGTACTTTAGTGGGAAATTGAGAAAATCTTTTGGAAGAAACAACAAGGAAAAGAATCAAAAGATGATAAAGTCTAATGGAACGGAGAGAGTATTAACTTTCTTATACAAATGATGTTAGATTGTTTTCCGTCCCTGACGAGACAAGATTTGAATAATTATAAAACACATAGAGACCAGACGTTTACCAGTTTAGTTCAGACCATACCAGTTTACTTTCAACCTGACTAATTGAGTGAAATAGATCTTCTGTCCAAAAAAATTGAGTGAAATAGATCTCTATATAAACAATGTAACACTCTTTTAAAATGTACGCGTGCTTACTACTTTTGGATACAAATGTTCATTTAAAAGAAAGAACTAGTGTAAGTATCTTGAAACAGTCCAAATGAAAGGCGGGAATATTTTAGGATAGACGTGTTTACAAGTATATAAATGTAAGAATACTAAAAAATGATGGAGATTGTTGGTTGGGCAGGGATGTGACGCTGGGATCCTGCTGAACGACACCGCCAGCTTCACCGGGGAACAGGGTGCAGCGCCGAACAGTGGTTCGGTGAGAGGGTTCAGCGTGATCGAGCAAGCCAAACTCAACGCTAAAACTAAGTGCTCCGACACGCCCGTTTCCTGTGCTGATGTGTTGGCTATTGCTGCTCGCGACTCCTATGCGAAAGTAAGTTTCTTGTGGTACTCATCACTTTGCTATTCATCAATCAGTTAATTGGATTGTTTTCAATTTTATATCAGATCGATTAGATTTAAACAGTTCAGATCAGATTTCAGTAATTGTAGAATAAACATAAAATGGACATTTATCAGATCACATCGTTTCAAACAAGAATTAAACAATCCAGGATAGATTAGATCAGGGAATTTATATTATGTGCAAATAAAAACATTCTAATTATGTGTGGCTTGAGGACGATGACATGCTCATGTGGTGGTGGCACTATGAAGTAGCATCTCCCGTAAGCAATGGCTTTTGTGAATGATCCTTTGCTATACTTAACTAGAGAGAATTTTCTAAACAACTAAGATTGGGGTACACACTTTTTGTACACAAAAAGTGTACACTTGTCTATGGGCTGACAACTCATCTCGTGACAGACAACTTGTCTGTGGGGGACAGACAAGTGTACACTTTTTGTGTACAAAAAGTGTGTACCCCTAGCCCCACCCTTTTCTAAATAGGACAAAAACAAGGATTACTTGTATTGTATTTATGATTATAGTCTCTAACTAAAACTTTGAACCAATTGTTTTTCTCAAATTCATTTTATAAGAGTTATATGTACATGTTTTTTGTATACGTCTCCTACTTTGCCAGTATGGTGCCTAAACAACTGCTTGTACACGAAGAAAGTCTCTTGTTTTTTATGGAGATTTACATTTTGATTTGTGTACTCTTTGTGCAACAGTTCACGGGTCGAACCTACAACATAACCTTAGGCGCGAGGCGTGATGCACGAACCGCGAATTTAACCGGAGCAAACACCCAACTTCCAGCACCATTCGACAACCTCACCGTCCAAACTCAGAAGTTTGCGGATAAAAACTTTAGCCAGCGAGAGATGGTGGCCTTGGCGGGAGCACACACCATTGGGGTTTCCCGGTGTGTGCTTTTGTGCCAGAGCGGTAATCTGAACGCCAACAGGACCGCCACCTTGGCATGCAACTGCACTGCCCCCGGCACAGCGGTGGTTGGCATGGACCCCACACCCACAACGTTCGACAAGAGATACTATGAGGAGTTGGTCAAAGGTCAAGGCCTTTTCTTTTCCGACGCAGAACTGATGAGCAGTAACACGACTGGCACCGTCGCGAGGAGGTACAGGGATGCCACTGGTGCTTTCCTCACCGACTTCACTGCCGCCATGGTGAAGATGAGCAACTTGCCGCCTTCGGCCGGAGTTCAACTCGAAATTCGCGACGTCTGCGGTCGTGTTAATGCCAACTCTGTTGAGTCTATGTAAATAATAGTGTCACTCTTTCACTCACTCTCTTTTTTACCGTTAATGGTGACTAAGAATGAAGATAGCTATGTGAGAATTTCACTTTGATAGTGAGGTTTTGACTACGTTTTGTTGAACAATAATAATAAACGCGGATGAAAGAAGGGGGCTTTGTTTTCTTATCAGCATTTTATTAGTTAGTGTGTGGGTAATACTGCTTCCAATCTACCATATAGGGGCAGGGTTGTGTGTTTCGATTTTGGTTCAGTTTGGGTTTTCAATATAATATTAGTTCGATTTCAATCAAAGTTGGGTGAATGTACTAAACAAAAATCGAACTATGTTTGAGTTTCAATGTTGGGTGAATGTACTAAACAAAAATCGAACTATGTTTGAGTTTGATTTGATTAATTTAGTTTGAGTTTGTTTGGTGTTAATATTTTATTTTAATAGGTTTATATAATACGGAGTACTATACTTGTGAATCTTGGCCTTCAGAAAATACTTATCTCATTTTCCCTTTTCAAGTTGTTCCAAAGTATTATGATCAAAAAAAGTTGTTCCAAAGTATTTGTTTCACTTGGATTAATCCAAAAAAAGCCACATTTATCATATACGTAGTACTACGTATTACATTATCAAAACTTCCACTTTTTCAAACTCCTACATAAATTTCTTATAACCTAATACAACAAACGGTTGAAAGAGAGGTAGCACTAATTTTTTTTTATAACTTTGTGATTCCTTCGATAATGTATTCGATAATTTAAAAGCAACTACTCACCCTTATACTCACCTTATATTCATCCATGTTTGTGAAGGTTTTTTTGTGTGTTAATCCGGTTTACAGACAAAATATGTTATTTTGTCTGTGCAAATTTTGCAAAAACAAAATATTGTCTATGAACGGAACTCACAGACAAAAAGAAAACTTTCACAAACATGTGTGAGTATAGAGAGAGTGAGTACAAACATCATTTTTTATTTAAAAGAGGGATTTTGTCTTGTTTTCACGTTTTAATTGACATGGTTAAATGGTTAAAATGTATGAAGGGCACGATGAAGCAAAATAACTCATGGATAAATAAATGTGATAGATCCAAGGAGTGGGATACAATCAAGAGTTCCCTTAAGAGAGGATATTTCCTCTACTTATGCATATATGCAGGTTATGCATTCAAGATTATCCCTATTGCGTCTCGAGTTACTAAACTTTTTTACAAGTTACTAATTCACAGTAAATCTATAAACATGTGTAGTATATATAGGTTAGTCTGTATTGAAAAAAAAGACAATATAGTTTGTGTAACTCATGAATCGGAAAGCCACATCTTTTTAGAATCAAGTAGTGAATACATTACAAAATGTTATAAGAAAATGTTTGTCCAAAATAAAGTCTATTCTCTAAAAGAGTTTGAGACATAAAAGATGTTGGGAAATTGCTTAATGGATATGTAAGACTAAAATTTTACATTGAACACTTTCAACTTTTATTGTAACAACGAAAATTTTACTACTACATCTGGTACTTGAGGGATAATAATTGCATTGTCCATTGGACAAGACAATAAATTCACATTCATTTTATCATTTATGAGTCTAGAATCCGGTTTTGCGCTAGATCGAGTACAATTCTTGGTTGGTGTAATTTGTAACATACATGTAACCTCATGTGCGCACGGGTACAAGATCTATCACCATTAGGCTGACTAAGTTACCGTGACTTACAACCTTCTAAATGTCTTGTCGGGTCAGGGTGTGGAGGGAGGGCTTTGGAGTTGGGGAACCGTGTGACATGCATGTTTTAATTATCAACGCTTTTTTACCAGATTATCAATGCTAACTTAATTATGTGCCTTTAAAAAATGCTAACTTATTGATGGATAATAGGATCCAATCTATGTATTATTTAGGAGAGATTGAGAATAAAAGGAGAAGAAGATGATAAATGTATGTTGAATGTATGGCTAAAATATTGATTAGGTTTACAAGACCTTCCATAGGGGGTATATATAGAAAAGTAACGACTTGGGCCCCTAATATAGGCCAGATAGTTCCAAATATGTAGAAAGGCTAATCTAGTAAGTACAATTGAATGTGTAAACTTTACAATAATATGAATATCCGCTAAGCGTGTGTGGAACACTGTTCAAGCCCAATAGTCCTGTGACCGGGAATCCGAGTCTATATTGTCTATCACTTATGTTTGTAATGAAATGATTAACGTTAGAGTTTAGACAAATTCTTCTTGGAAGTGGGTTGAATTTTCGTTATAGATGGCGATGCAAAAGTAATCATCAATAATTAATGAATGAAACTGCATCAATAATTAATGGATGAAACTGCATAACTACTGTAATCTTCTATTTATAGTGTTTTTATGGATATTTCGGTTTTCATTAATTTGTTTTACTCCAATTTATTTTAAAATAAATATATAATTCGTGAACTTGTTAAGATTTGAACAATACTTTTCAACCTCAATGACATACTTTCTTCAAAAAAAAAACCCTCAATGACATACTCACAACTGTCCGTAGTCCAAACCAAATCTAATGAAATTCTGAATGAAAAATAAGTTTTCAATTGTACTAGTTCGAATAAGATTTTTCAAAACGCAACATACTGAAGTACTAAACTCCAAATTAGATTTTATTTGTTATGCGTAGCACGCCAGTAACATCTCTGCATTTGTCTGATCATGTTTGAATATATATAATACGGAATACAATTTTTTATTTGTATTCAACTCGTTTTAGATCTCATTATTAGGGGTGGGCAAGAATTCCGGTCCCGTTGTCCCATTCCGGTATATCCCGAAACCGTACTGGTGTTGTCCCGTTCCGTTTGGGATCCGATTATTCTGTCCCACACCGGTCCCGTACCGGTTTAAAACGGGAACTGACCGAGACACCGGAAGGTTATCCCGAACCGTCCCGTTGTCCCGTTTGTAATAACTATATAGTTTTTAGCATGTGAGTATGTGACTAGCTAGTTTGTAGTGCTATCTCAAAAAAATAAAATATAGATAGTTTTTAGTTTTTCCGGCCCCATTTTTTAACTTAAAAATAATACCTAACATAAATATTTAATAACATAGATTTGTATCTCACACTATATATTTGCTAAGCTTAATTAAAATCTAACACTCGATCCATGTTTTTTAGTTTTTTTGTGTGAAAGATAACTTGTTGTTATGAAAATTAGTTAACTTTTAAAATGTTAATATTTTGGTGCATGATACTTTAGAAATGCTAATATACTTTAATTATAAATAATGATTTTATTTAATAATCTTTTGTTAGTTTGGGACGTCCCGAACCGTTCCGAACTATCCCGGTCCCGATTTAAATGGGACAAGATTAGGACAAAGGCGTGTCCCGTCAGGGACGGATCCAGGATTTCAAGTCAAGGGGGGCGAAATTTTTTCGTTAGGATAGAGGGTGAAAAATAATTCGCTAGTGTAGCGGGGTGATTTTTTCCGCTTGTGTAGTGGGGCGAATTTTTTGGCTAGCGTAGGGCTCTACGGCTAATTTTCATTCAAAAAATCCATCGGTACATACACGATGATATTTAAATATATTACATTCTAAATTTAAAAAATGGAAAAATAATTTTAGTTTTATAATTGTAAGTGTTCTAAAAAGTACTAAAACATTAAAACGTAAGAAATGACAAATCAAATGAGAATTATTTGAAGGTAAAGAGTTTAAGAAATACACATCAACCAATGCTTTTTAAATAACTTTTGTCTTGTTTAACTATATGAATCGTATTAGAATACAAAATTGATTTTTGAATTGCAATTTTTGTCTACTAAGGATGATGTTCGTGGGTAACGAGAAGTTTTCTTAATATTACAATAGTATGTATGCATGAGGTTATTATTCTTAGAATAATATTATACAGTACACAATATTGTTAATTCACATATATGGTGCATATTGTATTTGCATTAATGTTAAAATAAGTTAAAGTTTATTATATATGCAACAAATTGTTTTTAGAAAGTAATAAGTAAATGAATTGTGTGTAACTCAATGTCAATGAAGAGGACTGATCTGGTCCAGCCGGAGGGACGGGAGGCTCCGTTCGAATTCCAACGTTTGGGGCGGTTCCCGGAGGAATTTTTTGATGAAACTTTTTGATCATGTTCCTCATCAAGTCTAGTTTGTCCATACCAAATTTCAGCTCAAAATTCGACCGGAAAGGCATTCAAATCATTTTTTGAAGTTGACTGCTCCAAAATATACATATAAAACAAAGTCAACTTCAAAAAATGATTTGAATGCCTCCCCGATCGAATTTTGAGCTGAAATTTGGTATGAACAAACTAGACTTGATGCGGAACATGCTAAAAAAAGTTCATCAAAAAATTCTACCGGGAACCGCCCAAACGTTGGAGTTCGGACGGTGGCTGGACAGGGGAGGGAGGGACCTGATCTTTCCTGTGTCAATGAACATTTATATTTTAGATTCACTTCACATGATCAAAAAATTGTTTAACTAAGCTAGCGTGTCTGGTATTTAATATTGTTTGATATTTTACAGAATCAAATACTAATCATCAATTAAAGACAATTAAATGTTACAAAGCTAGAAATTTTTATATAATAGGTATCCTATGTCTTAAACAATGAGTTGTGTTATTGCTTATTCATTTAAGTTAAGTCGATTATTTTAGATGTTACTTTTTTAAAATCTCCAATTATGTATTACATTATGTAATGCTATAAATTAATTTTCAAAATTAAAAGTTAAGGAGGGAGAAAGCATATATATCTAATTAAAATATGAAATTATTACATATATAATAGAAAAATTTGAAAGTCCAAGGGGGGCGGTCGCCCCCCCCCCCCCTAAATCCGTCCCTGTGTCCCGTCCCGTCCTGTTATTATTAAATGGGTCGGGACCGGAATAATCCTAATCTCGGACCGTTCCGACCCGTGCCCACCCCTACTCATTATAAACTTCTACAAATACAAATAGTTTTTTCACTTTGTTGTACCCTGGAAACTTATATTCATGAATGTTTTGAGTAATTAGTCAAAACAGGGACTTTTAAAAGAATAGATTTTGCGACAGGGACTGTTGATTTTAGTTTTTTTTTTATAGAGAGAATGTTGATTTTAGTTGGAAATATCTTCAGTTGTTTTTTTGGACGAGTGTAATAAATTCTACGGTTTATCTTACATGCGACTCGGCGAGCATGATTTGAATTTTGGATCCAGGCAACCTGGGTGGCACACATTTCAGCTTGCCCAACCATATTGACTCAATTTTAATTTTTAAATACACAAATTACCTTAATTTTTATCTCATAATTTTTGTGAATATGACCTCCATATCTTTATACTCCGTGTTTCTTTTCATTTTCATTTTTTAATATCACTTTTAAATGTTTTTTATTGAAAGAATGACGGAAGTAAGACTTCCGGGTATGTATATGACAAAAATGGGATGGCTTTCTAATTTGGCCAAAAAGGAGACT